AAAAACCAAAGAATAATCAACATGGATAGTTAAATAGTAACAACAATATTGAGGAACTATAAAAACAAAAACAAGATAACAAGGCTAGTAGAATATATAAAAGACCTAGCTAGTACAAAGAACTTAAAGGTTTAATATCAAGAAAATTTTTTAATAAAGATCTCTGTAGATTTTTAGACATAAAACTCTGGAGGTGCTTCATTATTATTAGAAGCCTTTGGAGCAAAGACTTATATATAGAACTCTGGAGATTTTTAAATATTTTAAATTATAATAAAATAATTTTACATTATTATTAAAATATTTATTTTCAAAAATTTATTTATTAAAATTATTTTTTTACATATTTTTATTAATTATTTATATTTATATCATTTATTGCTGAAGTAGACCTTTCTATTCCTATATTTTCTGATTGTAATTTCAGATTATTTTCATTATTTTCTACTTTCTTCAAAGTACTTTGAATTTCAATATCTTTCTGCTTATGTATTTCTTGATCTTTATCACTTGAATTGCCTTCTGTAAATCCAATTTTCTTTTTAATTTTTTCTTAAAATAAATTATTGATAAACAAATAACTCTATAATACTTTGAAGAATTTTAATACTTATCTTATTTTTTTCTATTTTGCTTTTAATAAATGCTTCAGTAATTAAAATACTTTCATTACATGGATTTAGAATTGTTTGGTATATTGTGATAATGAATACAACTTGTTTTTTGGAGGCATCCTTTTTTGGTCAGACTTTTTTAAGAATGCATGCTATCATACTTTGGTTTCTTCCCTAGGATAAACATAAAGATTTTCGAAGTACTCCCAGATTTTTTATGATTTTTCCAAGCTGTAATTTTGATAGAAGTTGCATTTGTATTGATTGTATTTAGGGAATTTTTGCCAAAGACTGAAAACATGGCATTCCAGATTTTCAAAGTCATGATCTCTTGAAGTGATTTATGTTGTTTTACAAGTTATTAAATAAATAATATTGTTAATAAATTTATTTATTTTATTAATAACTACAATAATTATTACTTGTTAAATATACTTTTCATAATATGTCTTCCAACATTTTCTTGTTAAACCTTCAAAGAACTCTGAATATTCTTGCTGAAAATATTCTCTGTATACTAACGAAAATCTTCAGGATCTGTGTATATTTTTTCAAAAAGACTTCTTTCGCAATACTCTTGACTGCATGCTATTATAGAATTCAAAATGTTATTGAAGTTCTTCAAAGATTAAAATTAAATCTTATCTTGATAAAATTTTATTCAGTAATTAAATATTGACTCGTGTGAATTTTATTTTCTAAATATGTAATCTATCCTTGATGGCTTTTTGATATTCTAATAATTAATCAATTTTTATAAAGACTTTCAATTATTATATTAGAAACTAAATATTTAAATTGGGATTTATTTAAATAGTTATATATTTTTTAATATACCTAAAAATTTTTCTGGCAATCTCCTAGTAGATGAAAATTCTAGAATATAACTAGAAAAACTAATTAATTTTGGGATAGCTCTGTTTTTGTTTCAGCTTGAGATATTAATATTCATTCTTTAGCTTGACCCAGGATACCGAGAGTACTCTTGGATTTTTTGGAGGGTTTCAAAGTACCCTTTTCATCAGAGCTTGAATCTGAAATCATTTATTTAAGCATGTTATATATATATTTTTTTATTTGACATTAATAAAAAAGAAAGGACTTTAGAGACCTTATATAATATAAATCCCAAGAAGTTATATCATATTATAATCATATACAATCTTTGTCACCTTTTAAAAAATATTTTCATAGCTTTAAAAATTAAATAATATTGACAAAATTATGACAACTTATAAATTAAATAGCATTTTATTGATCAATTTTATTTTAATATATATATTATTACTTTAAATATTTTTGAAATTTTTTAAAATAAAAAATCTTTGAATGTTTTTATTATTAAAATTAATGAAATTATTTTTGTTAACAAATTTCAAAAATTTTGAAAGTTTTTCAAAGAATTTTTCAAAAATTTCCTAATGAAGCTGAAAAGATAAAAGAAATGTAACACAGATACATATCAAAATTGATGATAAGGTTAGAAGAGCAAGGCTCAAGTGACAGACCACCCAATTAGAGATTATGTCACTTAACAGAAATATACTAAAGCTTGTTTATAAAGATTAGATATCTAATTGTAATAGTAGTAAAATAGTATAGAGTTAATATAGAAATAAGTAGATCTGCAAATAGTGCAATTGTCAACCATAACCAAGTTTCATGAACAAAGGAAAAACTTATACAAGTTTAATTAATGTGTTATATGCAATACTACAAAAGAAGATCAAACTCATATATATACATGTAGAGAAAACAATTTTGACTTAAATAAGTATATACTAGAGTCAATAACATACTATTTTCAAAGTAGAGAGAAACAAAGCAAGTTTTGGTTCAAGAATAGACAAAGAAGATCAAGTATAAAAAAATTATTCTCTTGATTAGAATGTTTGCTAGGAGCCTGGTTCCTAACAACATTATAAGTTTAGTTTGCAATTGGATAAAAATCTTCAAGAAAAAAGTTAAATTAACTCTCATTGATACATTGAAGGGATTTAAGAAACTGCAAGAGTGATCTGAAAACAGAGATGCAAAGTAGTAAGCAAATAGAAAACCTTCTAAAGAATCTTAAAGATAGAGAAGAGAACAAAGGGTAAGTGGAATCAGAATGCTCCAAAAAATTGTATTGGGAAATAAACAAATACAATCAGATTGGATTGGAAGAAACAAAAAACTTTCAATTTCCTTTTCATATCAAAATACAAGGAAAATATTGCTAACTCAGTATAGGAAAGTTAGTTCTCTGCAAGGAAGGCAACAGGTCATGGAGATTCTTTGGAGATCTGAACTGGGAGGTATCTTTTTCTAATAATTTTAACATATATACTAATATAGTTTGAATTTTAGTTAACTTTGAAATGAATAGTGCACATGTAATATTTGAGTAAATGTTAATAAAAGACCAACTGGAGGCTGAGTCAGCTTAATAAAAAAAAATTATCAATGCATTTACATATAAAATGTAATCACTAGGCATATATATTAATAAAGGTCAAAACTAAAATTTATACTTTATGATATTGAAAATTGGAAATAATTTATAGTTAACTCTTTCAGGATACCTTCTTATTTGTCTCTTGCTATATAAATGGTAATTGCTTATTTACTTGAATCAGATTTGATTAGGCATTCCTTTAATTCTTACAAAATTTAATCCGTTTATGTTTTTTTAAATAGATTATAATATGCAATCATTAAAATATCTATATAACCAAAAATTATTTTACAAGGGGAGGGTGGATTGGTTCGTAAAATACAGTATATCTGATCCGTTAATGAAGATTGTAAACATCGTGATCATAGTAAAAACAACAATAATAAGCATGAATATACGGTATGTTATGTAATAATGTATTATTTTAGAAATGTTCTCCTGAGTAAAATTTTGAGAATAAACATAAAGTAATATAGTAAGTATAATATTTAATTATTACGTAAAATATGCACAAAGCTATATGAGACATGGATTTTGCTCATTCATTTATCAGCTATTTGCCACCTCCCTTGTTCTATTTTCAAAACGTTTCTGCCTCTAGTTTAAATTTTGAGAATCAATGAGGCTATTTAGTGAAGTTATAATAATCAAAATACTTAGTATGCATTGTAAGCAAAGATTTTTTTTTTTTCTTTTTTTTTTTTTTTACCAAAAATAAAAGTATGGGCGGTGTTTCCGTAAAATTTTCGTACTATAATAATTCATATTCCTTAAATAAAATTTCGGATCTTATTTCCGGCATATAGAAAATAAACAGGAAATCGAAGTCCGAAAATAAAACGAAGCTTGATCACGTGTTACATTTTCTGATGACCCGGAAATTTCACTCGAATATAGTGCTCACCAATTTTAGAGATTGACAATTATACATCATGTAACACAAATTACCTAATCGTTACTATATAAGCGCTTGTTTATTCTGTTTACTTCGTTTAGGCCATTGTTATTTTGCTAGATGCTAATAGTATATGCTAGGGAGGAGAAATAATGGGAGGGAAAATGCGTAATATTCTATATCTTCTCTCGTTCATACATTTCCCAATGATCTTCACATACATTCGACCATTGGTTGAAATATATTTCACTCGCTCCGATATAGAATATTACGCATTTTCCCTCCCATTATTTCTCCTCCCTAGCATATACTATTAGCATCTAGCAAAATAACAACGGCCTAAACGGAGTAAACAGAATAAACAAGCGCTTATATATTAATGATTAGGTAAGTTGTCTGCTATTAATAAAATGGCTGTACTACATGATATTCCACATCTTTGCTCGTTCATAACATTTCCCAATGATCTTCACATACGTTCGACCATTGGTTGAAATCTCTGCCTGCATTGTATACGTTATACTGTGACAATATTATGTCGATCTGAATATTAAATATAGTACAATAGATCGTTCTATTCAAACAGGAGATTAATAAAATTAGCAAATTTTAGTTAATCGATAAATGTTTATTGTTCTCAATATAAATTCATAAGCAGATTTTACATAAAAACAATTTCTTTTGGCAGTTTTTATTAAGTTTAGGGAGTTGAAAAAACTTTATATGCTAACAGCCTTTTTCTAAATCAGCAAAACGCAATTTTTTGATTTATAAAAATTCATCTCTGATTTAAATTTCATTTTCGCAATCCATTATAACGTAATACATCATGCTCATGAACATTGATCACTGATTTTTTTCATTGTGAGACGAACTTTGATTTCAACGCCGTGCTTATTTAACAATATACGTAAAATACAATAGGCTTTTAATTGCCATTTCGATTCACATGCGCAGCAAATAAAAATCTCAGAGTAAAAATAAAGAAAATATAGAAAGTCTCTCTTTAAACCAAAGAAAATAAAAAACAAAATATTTACAATTATTTTTAAGTTTAATTTCCATCTTTGGGGATCGGAAATTTATCTACAAGCCTGTTGTCTTTTACAACTCCGACAAACGCTCTTCTGGATCTACGTTTACTATAAGTCGGAGTGGGAGTGGTGATAGGATCACATTGGACGTTAAAAATACCGGTAGGAGTACAATCAAGATTGAGATAACTGTCCGGGAGTTTCGCGAAAAAAGGTGCAACTCCATCATTTACAAAATCAAAGTTTATTTTATCATTAAGATTATGTGTTATTTGTCCACAAGAATCCAAAATAACAATAGAATAATGGTGTTTTTCTGGGAAAGAGAATCCACCATTTAGATATCCGTAAACAAAAGTACAACCAAAATCATCTTGGCCGAAACTCATAATTCCGGTGATATCCCTCGAAAATATCGCGTGAGCAAAAGACGATTGACAAACATTGTTGCACTTTCCGTTACCACGTTTGAGCAAGAGATTGTTCGTTTCGCTCATAGCTATTGCTGAGGCGGCCGATAATTCGATAACCGCAAAGAGGAAGAAGAAAAAAGAAAAAGTCGCGATTTTTTTATTGTTCATTGTTACAATTTTTTAATTTTTCGAACTATTGTTTTAGAGGCAGATAGTTGTGAGTAAAGAAAAGAGAAATTTCATTCTATTTATAATTGAAGATTTTTCCTCGCTTTCGGACTAAAATTTTTTCATTCCGTTGTTCATTATTCGCAAGTTAATCATCTGATATGCAGTATTATCGCCATCATGCATATTGTTCCACTGAAAATAATCAAGAAAAATTACTGAACACGAAGTTATAATCGGAGACAGTTAAAAAATGATTCGTTGATTGAGGATTATATTGTGAGATGGTTTGAAATTTTTGCATACAGTTAAAGAACAGCTTCTTAATTTAAAATCAGTCAACTTAATATTACCGCAAACAGTTGTATTGGTTTAAATGTTGATTTTTTTATGGATTAATTTCGCCTTTATAATTTTTTAAAATACAATTTACAAATAGGTTTGATATTTTATTGTTAAAATTTTTTTAAAAAATTCTCACGAATTACAAAACATTGCTGCGATGAAAATTCAAACTGCATACTAAAAAAAATTGAATTTGAATGATCTATTTTATTTTATAAGTTCTTTTTACATAGTCTCAGTTTTCTTAAATTTTTACATTATGTTGTCATTGTCAATGAGATATCTAAATAAAGATACGATATGCAATATAAGGTAAGAAAAGATGAATACATAAAATCTTGTTACCGTAAACAAGTCGGAGGCAAAATCAAGTATGTCCGGCAATATGTTCGTCACTGTGACTATATGCGTGTGTACGTACGGTAACAGGGTACTACGCAAAATCGAATGATCAAAAATAAATCCGGAACTAATTTTTTGGTTTTCCGACATTTTAAAGTCTTTTTATAAAATATTGATGGAATAAAAGCGTTGCTGTCCTTTTACTCTACGTAAATTGCCTTTAAGCAAAGCTATATTTTCGTTAAGAATAAGAATTCACAATGAAAATCTTTCGTTCTCATCACGACTTTACACTATTGTGTTTATTTCTAATTTATCTTACCATTCTCACCATAAATACGAGATCACAAAGTTATAAGAACTTTACCTACACTGAGAAACCACAAAAGCACTTCCCTATTTCAGAGGTAACGGACCTTACAACCTACGATGATGGAACAGTGCTTGCCCGCATTGCGCGACAATATCCGGGGAATTTTTGTGTAGAACAAATATTATCACTGAGAGTTATCCATTTAGATGGGACAATCACTGAAATTAATATTGATCTAAACCTAGATCGTGTGAATTATTGCATGTTTAGTAGTAATCTTACTGGAAACCTTATGAATCCTATTAGCATAACTCCTTTACAGAATGAATTCATCCTAGTAAGTTATATAAACACCACAAATTCTTCTGATTACACGACCTACGAGGAATGGGGAATCGTCATTGATTGGTCAGGAAATACCTATAAGTACTTATTTTTATTACAATATTGCGAAAGTCTTGACTTTATATTTTATTAGTAATCACAAATTCGTTGCCATTTTTTCTAGTCATTCATATTTTGGCTCATCTTATGTAATCGATGGAAATTGGTCTCCAGAATCTTCAATAACTCCAAACGTAAATAAGAATGGTTTTCTTAGATTAGCAGCTATAAGTGACAACGATACCGACGTTGAATGTCAGGAATATCTTGTGTAACTTTATTTATTTGTTGATGTTCGCCGCTTTTTAATTTCAGTAATTTTTTTTTATAATTAAATTTTATTATAAACTTATACGTAGCGACAATCACGGACAACTATCAATGATATTCAACGACACCATCCCATTATATAATTTTACGAGCCTAACAATTACAGTAATTGCCACTATTGATGAAGGTTATGCAATAATATACGCCAACAGCAGTTACAATCCTACCAATGCTCTTTTATCGAGTGACGGGATGTATGCTATCTTTCTACCCCCAAATCAAAAATATATTGGCAATCCATACATTCTATACCAAACATCACTGAATGTAACAATGGATTATATTTTTTGTGGCTTAGTATCTGCCGGCATCGGTCAAGTGTGTACATTGAGCATGAGTCAAACAACAAAGAAAAATGGTACAGAATTATATTACCAGAATGTGTTCTTCTTGTCATCGGGAGCGGTAACAAATGTTTATCCGGGAGTGAACAATAGTAATGTTTACGGTTGGACTATAAGCACGATGCCCTTTGGTGGATACACATTTAGTGCTTCACCTTATAATAGTACAACCAATAGTAATTACTTAACTCTCTACGCGTATGGAGATAATGAAACTCAGATAGGCAGTATTGGACCGACTCCTATAAATCCATATAGTGCGATGTGCATTACTAGTAACAATACGTTATTATTTGCTGCTAACACTAGTAATGAGAGAAATTCTTGGACTCTATATAATTATCGATTGCCAATAGTTCATCCTGTCTTTAGTAAGTAATTGCTAGCTTCTGTTGGCCTTCTTGTGCAGTATACTACGCTAATTTTATTATCATTTATTACAGATGGTTATTACAGCAATCTCGAGATAAATTACACTGTCCCAGAAATTAATGGTACCGTCGAACCATTTAATGCGACAACGATTAGCATCACTTTCAATGTTCCCGTCGAATTTACAAATGCAAATATTTCGATATACCATTCTAGTACTGGCAATCTTCGGCAAATAGTTTCTGGGACAAATAGTGATATTTGCAGTATTAGTTCGGATTCTCTAACAATTACTGTTAAGGTGATTAGCAGTGTATTTAATCAGCCTGGAGAACAATATTACATTAAAATGGACAATAATTTTGTAAAGAGTAAAGATTTAAATGAGCCTTTAAAAGGGATCGAAAGTCATATTTGGATTCCTACAGCAAATAGTAAATATCCTCTTGATATAATTTTCATTTACCCTATGATAAATAACAACTTAAACATATATATTGACATTTAATATAGTTATCCCCGACGAAGAAAAATTTTCGGGTAACGTGCTATTACCATGCATCGTAAATACGTATTTTATTTTTAAAAAATTTACGTTTCCACTATTACAGATGGGACGAGTGGTACACTTTATCTTACTATAAATGCCACGGCAGCGTTTTTAAATCTCACCGGATCAGAGAAATCGGAATATATCTCTGAATTACTAATAGAGCTTACATATATGGTGCCAGTTCGACAAAACCGATTAAGTTCAAATGGGAATTATCAGCATATTAATGCGGGAACTCCTTTCGAACAAATATTTATTGCTGTATATGTGAATAAGCCGAATAATAACACCGAAAGAAGTGTCCCCGGGGTGTTCTCCGATTTAAACACTATGATTTCAAAAAAGCAAATCACCAGTATCTCTACCGGTTCTAAAACAAATGATCTGGATCCGAATTTCGGTTTTAATGAACAATGTAAGTATTTATTATAATAGTTGCATACGTATTTGATAAATTAATATTTAATTCCATATTATAGCGAATTTGTGGAATGAATATAAGATGCAGATAATCGGCGTATTGATAGCTTTTTCACTGTGTGTTTTGCTCTTCTTGCTGGCGCGAAGCAAAAAACCGGAGGTGAGCTTCCAATCTAATGAGCTTACTTTAATATTAAAATTAAAGTATTGTTGTACTTTTGTTAAAAAATGTAAAAATATTAGGGGAGAAATTTGTTGATCTTTCAGCTTGGTTTGATCATTCTTAATACTTCGCTTATGATCATATTCCTCACCGACCATGGGCACGACATACCATCATTATTTACACCAAGGTATGCTCTCTGAGTAGCTTACCCACCTTACAGTATTATAAAATAATCTAAAATATTTCTCACGCTTATTTTAATTTATTACGCAATATTTATGTAAAAAAAAAAAAAATCTCCGAATACAATAGTTTAATCTTCTTTGTGATTCCTATATTCGTCAATGCCATCTTAGCTTTTTATATTGTTTCCAAGGAAAATAATAAAATACATGATAATAAGTGGTTCGAAAAAAATGGTAAAATAGCAGCCATATTTACTATTGTCGCGGCAGCTGACGTTCAGGCTCTGGAAGTTTTAAACTCGAATTTGGGAGGGCTCGACATTTTCAATGCTCCATTCTCTGGTGATGCGTCTTACAAGATCTTCATAGGATCGTGTGTTGATATTATTATTAGGAATATTCCTCAGTTTATTATTCAGGTAATTATTCATCATATCCTCTCTTATTGAATAATCGATTTCTGATTTAAATATCACATTAATATCAAACAGATTATATATTATAAGTCTATCGTGACCTACAACATTGTTCCACTTCTCTTGCTGGCCACGACATTCCTTACACTTCTTGTAAACATTATTGGTCGTCTGTATGAATCAAGACATCGTTTGCGCCCTCAATATTCTCCTCCATCGGAGGAAGCCGTTTCTAATCAATCAACCCATAAGTCGAATGAAGGAAAGAAAAATATCGATGACCCTGAAGAATCAAAGAATACGGAAGAATTAAAAATTGAAAATTAAAAAAAAATATTCACTTGTCTGTTGTATATTCAATTTTACATTTTATTGATAACATTAAAATTTTTATTTTATATTTGTATTTATAACATTTTATATGGGTAAATTTTGTAAAAATATTGATAAAATAGGCTCTTACATATTTTATTGTAAAAATCTGAACTATAGCTAGGAAATGTAAACTATTGTTAAGTCCAAAGGTTTATACTGTACATAGTCAAACCGTAAGTTTGCCATTTTAGATGTGCATCAATCGAAACCAATGTCTCTCTATTCTTAAACAAGACATCTTTATTGTACGTATAAAGTAGATTATACGCAGAGTACGTACGTACTCAATCATATTATAACCAATAGGCAAATACGTACGTAAATCTCTTTGAATTTTTATAAACGTTTCGTTATTTTTTGAGGGGCTGTGTATAAGTAAGAAAGTTATTTCTTTCAAGGTAACTTCAATTTCAATCTTTGTTCGGCGTTAAATACGTATATGGTTTGCTCACGCGTACAAAAATTGAGGGTTTATCGTTTCCAAAGCCCGATGAAGATTTTGAAGTGTAGTTAATACTTACAGTCAGTTGGCACATCCATTTAAAATTAGACCTTCGCTCGATTATGCGTACGTATTAGGGGTATCGCATTTATTATTTACATTATCCCGATGTGTATAAAGATCAAAGGATATTAAAACCGTCAATAGTATCAGTCTTAATATATGACTTCGCCCTAGATTTACCGGAAATCTACCGTATTGTGATTATCAACTAAAAACCAAACATTCGATTGTAATTTTAGCGCAATGACAAAAATTGTTATGTAAAATGTTACTCTATATTAAAATTTGATGTATTGGTCAATTATTAGGTATAATAGGCAAATGCACATAATAATACTGCTTAAGAACTTTTTTTGAAAAAAAAAACTTTAGAAGAAAAGCATGCATATTTATGGATTAAATCCATCCATATTGCTAATTGCATTCATTGTAAGAACCATATGATTAAGTAATAGAGAAAATTGGAAAATTAAGAGTACGTAGTTACGTAGTACGTAAATGTGAATTACAGAACGGGAAATACTAAAGAATATGATGTGAAAATTAGAAAAATATTGAAGAAAAAACTAGTTTATAAAATTGGATAAAAATAACAAAAGTAAAAAAAAAATAAAAATAAAAATTGTGATGTGTTTAATAAAGAAACTTCTCTACTAACCCTGACAACCCGGGACTACGCCTAGCCTCCGAACCCTACACCAGTGACATGGCAAGGAACCCATGCATAGATGGATTCTTGTTCACCCAATATAGTAATAGACTAGGAATAATAATGTACCGATTACTTTTTCTTTATTTTTTTTTTCTTTGTGTTATTATGGGTATTATGTAAATAGTCAATATAATAATATTATTTATGTAATATAGATTCATTAAGTTTTTTATTGTTTACTAATTATTAGAAACATAGATAGTATAAAAGGATGTCCTTTTGGATCCGAATAAAATTATTTTGAAAAATATATATAGTAAATTATTAAAACCAATGTTTTGATAGATGCAGATCCTTAAATTTTTAGAAAATTTCCTTTAATAGTAATTTTCTAAAAGAAAAACCTACTCACAAGAAACAACCCCAAGGAGAGATAGCAATAGCAATAACTCTCCTTTACAAAATATATAATTGACTTCTGATAACAGCAAAAGGATGGACACTGCTAGTTAGCAGCAATATTCTTATAGTTTTTATTTGTTTTAGGAAGAAGAGAAAGCAAAAACAAAATGATTCACAATAGGATTATTGAGACTCAATATCAACTTTGCAAAGCTCTTAGCCAGGCCAGTACAGGTTAATACCTTTCTAGGCACTGAAAGAGATTTCAAAAGCAATAATTCAAACTGATAAATTAGTTCAAATTTGAGATTAAAAAAATCAAGAAGAATATTTAGTTCTCTTGAGTTAAACTGTAAAGATCTGTAATAAACAATCACAACAACTAATCTATCAGCTTATGTCATGCAAACATAAATACATAAAAGTGAATAGATTCTAAAAATGACAAGATAACAACTCACAATACATCAATATACTTAAAATTAATAACATTTGCCAATCCAACTTATCACAAGCAGAAAACAAGTAATATACATATGGATAAACAAGACTGATACACAAGATCAAAACATATGAATAAACAACATATTGGAAAGATTATTTGATTACATAATCCAATATTATTCCTTATTTATAGATCATCCTGCAGAAAAACAACAAAATATAAAAACAATCCAATACATATAATAGTTTATTTATCTTATATAACAACATGACTCAAAAAGAGCAAAACATTATCAGAATTCTAAAAAGACATAAACAAGAAATCCTAAGATTATTAAGAAATGTTGTTACCAGTTATGATCCCAACAAGAACTATGGGAGACAAAAAATTTCAATATAAGCTAAAGCACAAAACAGGAGATCAATCACATATTCCAGTAGAAACAATTTATGTAACCTCAATATTAGACAACATTATTGCAAATCTATTAAATTTAAGTCCTTTAACTTGACAAAAGAACATATGTTAAGATAATATATTATCACTTTGTATAAAAAGAAACAAGGTAAGAGACAAAATCTAGAAGCTCTTATGTTTGAAAAAAAGGTATGTAACATATTAATAAACAAAATAGAAAATTCTATCTCAAGTTACAGTATAAAAAAATCACAAAAATAGATATGTTCCAGTGGATATTTAGTCAACTTTTACAGAAACTGAAGAAATTAACCCAATTAAAGAAGCGGAAATAGAAGATGGGATCACAATAGAGCAGATAGAAGCAAAATAGTTAAATAGATGGTTCAAGAAACCTGTATTACAGAAAATATCTCTTATAATACATGAAATAGAATATAAAGTTCTATAGTTAATCTCTACTTTATTAAACAAATATGTACAATTAAATTGGAATTGCTTCAAGCTACACTACTAGAAGATAATAAAGAAGAAGAATTCAAATATCTTAAGGAAATATTAAGTATATTCAAGAAAATGAATTACTTTGAGACCGAATTTATCAATAGCAACTATTGGATACTTTTGATATTGATGAAGAGAAGAATACAGCATAATATTTAGAATCAATTAATAAAAAAAAAAGAAAAACGTCTCTATCAAGAGAATAGATCATGATAGGAATACACATCTAGTCTTTCAAAGATATGTTCTAAATGAAAGATTTTTTTATCCTTTGTTCTTATACTTCAATATACTGCGAGTGGAACCCTTCTTTGGTGATAGAACCCAGGATCATATTACTTGATTGACTTCTTTTGAAAAAGCTATAATGATTAATCAATAAAAAGACAAAAAACTGATCTGAATGCTTAATGCCCACCTCTAGGATAAAGCTAAGGAATGATGGATAATATATTTTGAGGATAATAACACTGATGCTAATGCCATGAAATAGAAGGCATCTTTAAAGAATTCAAACAGCAGTTTTGTACCTAGTAATAGATTAATAAATGAATACGTTATCTTGAAAACATAGGCAAAGACCAACTAAATCTGTGACTACTTACTATGCCACTTTCAAAAAACTTCTCAAAAGGATCAATATTGAAGGTGACATAAATCTTAACTAACAACTCTGCTACTACATCAGGAGATTGCTATTACACTTGATTTCAATTGGTTCCATAAACAATCCTGATAATGTAAATACTGCACACAAACTTGCAATGACTTATCAAAATGGTCAGGATATAAACAATGATAAAGAACTACACAATCTTACTCCAATTTCAAGGAATTTCAAAATGGCTTTTTTGAAATCTGAAGATCCCATAGATACTCTTACCAAAAAGTTTGAAAAACTCCAATTGAACTTGGCTAAAAAATTGGAACTTCTTTCTACTTAAGTGAGAAAACAAGGCCATTATACAAAGCAACCTATCTTCAACCCTATGAATAGGTCTAACTCTACCCAACTTGTATATTTCAGGTGCAATAAACCAGAACATCTGGTTAGGGAATATATGTCTGAAAAGGTTCAAGCAAACTCCTCCAGGTCCAGGAAACCTTTGGACTATCTCAACATTGAAGAATCTGAGAAGGAGTTCAATGGATCTTATGGTGAGGAGAAAGTCTACATTGGTTAGCACAATCAACCCTATATCACTAATAGGAGGGAGGTCAAGCAAAAGTAAAAACAATTGATTCAAACAAGGAATTAAACCTATGCATCAGGAAAGTCTCTAGGATCCCACCAAAGTAAATTCATGACTCTAAAACTGAAGTAATTGCAACCCCTCTACTGCCAAATCCAAAAGGCCTAAAACTAAAGTCTAACTATCTTTTGTGAATCAACTGCCCAACTATGACATCTTTGAGAATATTTTAAACCTCCATACTAAGATTACTTTGGGACAAATGTAATATCCCAATCAGTGCAAAAATTTGGTAAAAATTCTCAAGTGATCTAAGGTACCTATGAAAATCAATTATCTTATTTCTGATGATCCAAGAAAAACTACAACTGTCAGGTACTATATTCACATCAAAAGAAATCCTGTAATAACCATTCTTGACTCTGATGCTGCTGTCAGTATCATTACTGAAAAACTTATAAAGAAACTTGAATTGGAAATTGATATCAAGTCTAAAACCAGTGTAATTACTGCCAATGGTATACAAGCCAGGGACCTTGAACAAATTATTTCTTTGAAAATATTATTCTGAATTTGATTGTACCAGTGACCTTGCAAGTAATTGAGTCACGTAAGAAGACTCTCCTTCTGGAAACTGATTGGTTGAATTACATGAAGGCAAATTGAAATTTTGAGGACCATACTCTTCAAATTACTTATAAGGATAAAATAATTGCCATAGAAACTATCCACTATATTAATACTTCCCCACACCACTCACAAGGTAACAATTACTATAAGAATAATGAAGATGAACTTTTGGATAAAATTTAATATGAATCTGAAAGTGATCTT